CCACTGCCACGCCCATTTGTGAGCCCGCTCCCCTCCTCCCAAAACAAAGAGAACGCCCTAACACGCTCCGGAAAGGCGCTGGGTAACATATCCGCTTATGTCAATTTTTTCCTAGCACTCGGAGTTGGGGCAGCATCATCAGCGCTGCTCCTTGTGCTCCCCGTCACTCCAGCCAGTTGTCACTGTCAGTTTCGGCTTCCCTTCCAGTGTTTTGTCACTGCTCCTGGTTTGGATTCAGAAGCTCCACCCCCCTCCCCACACACGTCTAACTCTGTTGTCGCCCGGTTTGTTTGTTTAAATGCTACATTTACTTTATGGATTGTTGCTATATTTTTTCTTCAACTAACAACCCGAAAAGCCGGGAATGGCGTATAAATTTCACGTCAATTTTTATACAGTGAGGAGTAGGAGCTCAGCTGGGTGAGCCCTTGACTGATTGTGACCTGTCAGAACTTGCTTCCTTTTAATAACTTGCCCACACACACACACACGACCTCTCTCTCTCGCTTTTTCTCGAACACATCCGCTAATAACCTGGCTTTTGCTCGGTTTCCCTTTTAGCCCACTTTAAGTGTCCTGTTCACGCTACATAGTTTAAAATTCTTTATAATTGGATTCCCAGCTTCTAAAGCCCATTTTTTATGGCCAGTTTCGGACGAAAGAGAGTAGCCGGCTGGATGTCAAAAGGATTTTACAGTTGACGCGTGCAAACCAGAGCCAAACCCATGGCACTCATCCTGGGTCCTTTTTTGTTTTGTGGGTGGCCGAAGGACGAGTAACCGTAACCCCAGGAAACACCCACACAAATGTGTGTGTCTGTGTGTGGGTATGTGTGTGTGTGGGCCGGGGATGTGATGATATGTTCCATTTCACACGGCTGCGACGACGGCTGGCAATCCTTTCGACCGCACTCAGACATACTCCAGCCAGGCCGCAGGAGCCGAGATTTATGTTTTCTTGTAAACAAAATAACGGACATGCTTGAGGCCTTTCGACAGGACCTCCCAAAGAGGGTAGGCCATAAGGTGGAAAAGGAAAAGGAGTCTGAGTCAGCCAGCCTTGGGCCATCCGGCTGACAACGAGATTAGACGCATGTAAACCTGCGTGTTCGATTTGCAGCTTTCTTGGCCTTACCCATCCTCGGTTCAATCGGATCATCATGGATGTGTCTCTCCTTAAGTGTGGGCATGTGCGTTGCCATAGACATTTTAATTATTCAGGGGCTTTTCTGGGGAGTTCGGCTGACTGTCAGGATATATCCCACATTCCTTTCCCCTCTTTGTTTTGTTTCCCATTTACATTTTTCAAGTGACTTCGCTTATGTTTCTTTAATGGCCAGCGAAACATGCTCTAAATCGGAAATCAGGGCGTATACTTGATATGAATATCAAAGATATCAAATCAGAAGTCGTAGGGCATTTGTTCAACAAATTTGGCTTATTTTTAAAGACCTTAACGAAAGGATACTTGGTATGAATATAAAATATTTTTAAATCTTGCTGAAGCATGAAAGTCTTTTAGAGTGTTGTTTTGACCTAATACGCCCAAAATTCTTACTAAACTAATTTTGGGAAACCAGGACAAAATTTGGAATATTTTGGTGTAAAAAAATAGTGTTTAAAAATTTACAAAGGAACTAATGAATTAGATTTTGCAAAAGATTCTAAACTAAATTTAATATCTGATTTTCCAAAAATTACTTGTTACACGCTTATATGCTTGCAAACCTTTTCAAATGAAGACCATTGTCATCAAATTTAATGACAGGAACACAAGCCTGTGTATTTCGTGGAATTTTCGAAAAGTAAATGCGTACCTTCGCTTTGTTATAGTGACCAGGTCTCCGGAGCTGCTTCCCAATTATGTCTAGACAATGGACAGCTCCCACTCCCCCAATTGCATCAGCATATTTTGTTTTATCTGGCTGACACACGTGTCGGCCATACGAAAATAAAGCAATTTGCATATACTTTACATAGTAAGCTGGTATGCGGAGATTTTCGGGGAAAGCTGGATATCTGGTCACTCATACGCCGCGTGTGCCACAGGTGGAAGGAAACCTTAAAATAAATAAAAGAAGGCGCAGCTAACTTGAAAGGAAAAGTGGCGGCGGAAATTACGCACAGCGGGTAAATTTTTAAAGGTTGCACTTAGAATATTTTAGTTTAGACAGAAATTAAAGGGAGATAGAAGTTTTGACAAGATAAGGAATATATTTAAATATCGGTTTATAATACTTAATAATAATCCTTTTATGCATTTGTCACAACTCTCATTATACCCTTGCAGAGGGTATTATAATTTTGGTCAAAAGTGTGCAACGCAGTGAAGGAGACATCTCCGACCCTATAAAGTATATATATTCTTGATCAGGATCACCTCCTGAGTTGATATAGCCATGTCCGTCTGTCCGTCTGTCCGTCTGTCCGTCTGTCTGTCCGTCTGTCTGTTTCTACGCGAACTAGTCTCTCAGTTTTAAAGATATCGAATTCAAACTTTGCACACACCCTTCTTTCCTTTGCACGCAGTATATAAGTCGGAACGGCCGGGATCGGCCGACTATATCCTATAGCTGCCATATAACTGATTAATCGGAAATGCCATAACTCTGCTGTTTGTTAAGTTAGGAAGTTGGGACTTTCTATGGGTTTTATATTTGGCCAATCAATACGACGTACCAAATTTCATAAGGATCGGCCGACTATATCCTATAGCTGCTATATAACTGATTGATCGGAAATGCCATAACTTTGGTGTTTTTAAAGTTAGGAAGTTGGGATTTTTTATGAGTATTAAGAATGCATCATATGAATAATTTTGGAGAATATAATTTGCAGAATATTCTGCAAGGGTATTTCAACTTCGGCTCCGCCCGAAGTTAGCTTTCCTTTCTTGTTTTAAGGTAATTTTTATTAGTATTTCAGAATGAGTATTTTCCAAGTGTAGCTTCCACTGGCAATTTGCGTCTCAGTTTCGCTTTCGGTTTCATGTCTGGGCTGGCTAATTGAGCAAATCCGCCAAAACGGCTTTTGTTGGCCCACTTCCGGCCGTCCTTGCCGGTGCTCGTAATTATAAATCAATCGCTCGCAGGGTGCTGCTGTTTGGATTGCCATTCCGATCGAACGCCAGTCGGCAAAGTCGGTGACTTGGAGTTGGGAATCGGGGAGATATGGCAGAAAGTTGCGTGACATTTGGCCAATCCCTTGGGCGGTCTTCCCCAGACTGCTGCCGCTGCAGCTTTCGGAGGTTCGTGCCTTTTCGCAGGTCTCTCTCTGTTTGCCATCGTCGTCCATCGCCGCTCGTTTGCTTTCAATCTGCGTCTGGATGTTTTCAATTTCTTTTGGAATTTGTTTTCACGCAAAAAGCGAGCGAATCAGCAGAATTCCATAACCCAGAGTTTGCCCACGGCCCACACAGCTGCAGATACAGATACGTATTTATGTGTACCTACCCGTTCGAATAATGTTTTTTATGTGTTTATACTTGATGCGTTTGCCGATGACGATGGCGATGCCGACGGCTGGTTGCTCAGTTCGGTGTGTGTGACTTCTTGTAAATATTTTCGCAGATTCGAGCACCCGCGGCGGCTGTGGGAAATGGCCCCGTAAACGTTTAATAAAATATGATTTCAATTGATTCGAAACTCGCATTTAAACCGACTGCTGCTCCAGATATGTACGTACGTGTCCCGTCCCGGGGGCAATCAATAAAGCAAAAACAAATGCCCCAAAGGGACAGACTCCGCATCCGCATCCACATCCTTCGACGGTCCCCGGAGACTGGCGTTCGCCTTGACTTGGCCCTCAGTTATCCGCTTAGATCACTCAACTAAAAAACTCAATTTGCATATTAATATTATTTGGGTTTTTCCTGTTGTTTGGCCTTTTCTCCCTTCGCCTTTCATCCTTTTATCAGGCAAAAAGAACAACAACGGGCGGAGAATCAACAGTAGTGAATTGAATTTGCTCTGCTCCGACGCCTTTTCGGTCGTCCTTTGATATGGCCAGGATCCGGGACATTCCCCCACACATGAGCAGCTGCTCCCAGGTGCATACTTTGAGGAGACCTCCAAAAAGGGTGGTCCCGACGCCTTGGATCCTTGGATCCTGCCCGGCTCACCTGGCGCACAAAGGCCGAGCTGTCAGTCAGTGTGCCAGGCAATTTCGGTTTTATTGGAATTATGTCAGTGTTATTTTAGCATAATCATAAAAATGATTGTTTGCGGTTGTCCGCCGAGAGGCAAATGCAATGAAGCGAGTGGATTAGATGAATAATTTGATTTTCAAGCAGAACAGGTCTTTAGAACTTAAGCTATTATCAGCTATTAACTTTAAATTTGCTGTATGACTTAAACTAATATTGAAGAGGTACAATTTAATTTTCCTTAAAATAAAATCTAAAATGACAACTAGAAGTAAATGCTATGAAGCGAATGGATTAGATGAATGATTTAGTTTTTAAGTATAATAAGTCTTTAGTCTTTAGATTAGCTAAAGGAAATCTTGAAAAATTCATAATTGTTGAAAACTTTTTCTAAATCTTTAAGCTTTAACGAAAAACAATCTAAAAGGACAACTAATTGGTTACCTTGAATATTATTTAATTTAATTGATTTAATATTTAATTGCCCACAATTTACTATACGATTTTGCATTTTAAATAAAATTAAAAAGGAAACCAGCAATGTCACATGTTTTACTGCTGACATGGATTGATTTTAAAGTGGAACCCATTCTTAAAGCTCGAATAATCACCCCTCAATTAACTGCAAGCTTTTGCCACTTGATTGGAATTCCAAAACTAAAGCAAATCAGCAATGGGGTGTTTCGTTTTGTGACTGACTGGCTTTTGGTTTTGGTTTCGATTTCTGGTTTATTTTGACAAACGCAAATGAATCTGAATAATTTATGATTGGGTCATGAATTTAATATTTCATCAGGCCGGCGGCAATTAAAATTAGAATATAAATGGGAGTCCATCCGGGGGGACGGCGTTCAGTCATGCCCAGCCATCGCTATCGACCCCGTCTGCCCGGCGGAGAGTTGGCCCCGACGCCCTGGCCGGTGTCCCTGTACCGGATCCTGAACCACATTGCCTGGCCCCTGGAGGCGGACGCGGGTCGCTGGATTGTTCTTCTAGACCGGGCGCTGATTTTCCTCGGCTTCCTCGTCTTCTGCGAGCACAACGAGGTGGACTTTCATTACCTGATGGCCAATCGGCGGGACATGGACAGCCTGCTGACGGGCATGCCCACGTATCTGATCCTGGTGGAGATGCAGATACGCTGCTACCAGCTGGCCTGGCACAAGGATCGCTTCCGGGCACTGCTGCAGCGCTTCTATGCGGAGGTCTACGTGCGGGAGGAGGCGGAGCCCCATTTGTTTGCCAGGATCCAGCGGCAAATGCTGGCCACGCGGGTCAATTCGACCGTCTATCTGCTGACCCTGTTCAATTTCTTTCTGGTAGCAGTGACGAACGTCATCTACCACCGCCGCGAGATGCTCTACAAGCAGGTGTATCCCTTCGACAACACCCAGCTGCCCTACTTCATCCCACTGCTGGGGCTCAACTTCTGGGTGGGCTTCATCATCACCAGCATGCTCTTCGGCGAACTGAATGTGATGGGCGAGCTGATGATGCACCTGAATGCCCGGTATGTCCAGTTGGGCCAGGACCTCCGCCGCTCGGCCCGAAGGCTGTTGGAGGGGCGTGGCACCATGGACATAGCTGCGAGCTATCGTCAGGAGCTAACCCACATCCTGCGGAGGAATACGGCCCTCAGGGAATTCGGCCAGCGGATGGAGGAGGAGTTCAGCCTTCGCATCTTCGTCATGTTCGCCTTCAGCGCAGGTCTGCTCTGCGCCCTCTTCTTTAAAGCTTTTACGGTTGGTATTAATGGCAATATAAATGCCAACTTTTGGATCTATATCTTTGTATTTTCTTGGTAAAAGTTCCTTATCGCTAACTCCCAAGAAACCCATTTTATTTCTGAGGTTTCGCAACTGGTGTGTCAAACATCTTTCGCTGAGAGTTCCGTAACCTTAATATTTTTTGTTTACTTCTTAACAACTAAAGTTTCAATACATTAAAGCGCGGTTATTAAAAACAAAATAAACAAAAGAGGTTTTGTATAGTATAACTTTGATAGCTTGAGGGTTCTTATTTATCTTTTAAGTTTTTAGAGAAGTGATGTTACTTCTTTATTTTGTAATAGTTCTCTAATGTAAACTTTAATTTAGTCAACTAAAAATTGTAAAACAGAAATATCAATGTTTTTCAGCTAAATTTTTTTAAAACTTTTTTTGTTTTATTTATAACTAATAATTCAAAGATTTATCACTTAAATTCACAGTAAAGTTTTCAGCCATCTTATAAAGACCCTTTCATATTTTTACAGAATCCCTGGGGTAATGTGGCCTACATTGTGTGGTTCCTGGCCAAATTCATAGAGTTGCTGGCCTTTGGCATGCTGGGGTCTATTTTGCTCGAGACAGTGGGTGCTCCTTCTTACTATTCTTCCACAAAGTCATTTAGATTCCTGTAATTCCCCCTACAGACAGACGAACTGGGCATGATGTACTACACCGCCGACTGGGAGCAGGTGGTCAATCAGTCGCAGAATGTCGGCGAGAATGTCAAGCTGATGAAACTGGTGACCCTGGCCATTCAACTGAACTCAAGGCCCTTCTTCATTACGGGTCTGAAATATTTTCGGGTCAGTCTGACGGCAGTGTTGAAAGTGAGCCACATTTTAGGTTATTTCAATTGGATAGCTTATTGTCTTCACTTCCACAGATCATCAAGGGCGCCTTCTCCTACTTCACGTTTCTAAATTCGATGCGTTGAACTGTGCCGGATTGCTGGAATAATTGTGTTGCCAATCATTCGGAAATTATGCGTTCCCTGGCATCATTTGTGGCCTGACCCTTGGCCATTTGTCCGCCCCGAAACAGGATGCTTAGCTCCACACCCATCGCCCATCGCCCACCTTTTGTGTGCTGGATATCCGCTGACAACAATGGAGCTTTCGAGCGCATTCAAGGATATTAACACGTGCATGACTGTGATTTATGCACCACCCACTTGGAGGAGCTGGAGGAGGAGCAGGAGCAGGAGCAGGAACTGGAGCAAGTACAACTGCATCTGCCAGTCGGGGCATCGTCAATCCAGTGGCTCTCCACTCTCGACTCCTAAGCTGCGCATTTGGGACGAGGGAAATTTGCTGCTGCGTTGACAGCTGCAATCCGAAGACGTTACCCGGCATATATCCATATCGATATCCATATAGCCATAACTGTCAGCCATGACTGAGTGGCAGCAATTGGCAGGGGAGAGCGGCTGCCGGAGAAATCGTGGCACTATATATATCCATAGGTACAGGGAGCGCAGTAAATGCTCATCCACTGGCAGTGGCACAATGCAATATATTCACAATTCCAGCGCATACAACTGTGCTCAAAATAATAGAAGTAATCCGTGCTATCAAAAAAAAAAATATAGTTTTAAAAAGGTTGTAGCTACAGTGCACTTGGGATTCGAACTTAAGTGTATACTCTATTTAAATAATCGTTAAGTACAATGCCTACAGCTTCAAGTTAAGACAATACTTATAATTATTAAGAATGCAAAAATACATATTCAATTTATGATGATCTCACTACAATAGTAAATTCATTAAATTCATTTCAATTAAATTTATACACTTGCACTAAATATATAAATGTATAGGGTCTTGAAGAACAAAAATAATATGTCTTATTTATTTTGCGGGTCAAATTCTTGGTTAGATAGTTAAGCCATATTCTTTCCAATCATTCTTAAACTTATTTGTTATACTATTAAATACTATTTTTTTGAGCACAGATACAATTTATATGTACTTGGCAAAGTAAGCATGCATATTCCATATGTGTGGGTATGTGAGTGGATACATAAATCGGGGAAAATGTCGTTACAAATATTTTATAACAGGAAATCCGTTATTTATACGCACATTGTACTGGCAGTGGTGGGTGGTGGTTCGCGGGAGGTGGGAGGGTGAAAAGGGGGCGGTGGGTTATTGAAAATGTGGGTGGTGGCTCTGTATTGAAGCAGATCAGCAGAATGCAAAGGCAGCTTCAATCGGCACTTGGCAAATATGAATGAATGTTGTTTGCCAGTCGTTCGTCGGTCCTGTGGTCCTGAAACTCCCACAACCCACAACCCGCACCCCATCCCCTCCCCTCTTTGGGAGACCATCAATTGCCTGATTGAAGCGACAAAATGCGAAATCCTTATGAATTGGCTACAATTTTATTTATTATTACTCGTTCTATTTGCTGCCTTGCACTTCGAGTGCTGCACTGTAAAAAACATGGCAATGGCTTTTTACCCATTTTATAGGGCAGCTATGATTGATAGATTATTAAGTATCGAATACAATTCATTAAAATATATTTAAAATCTTTTAAATTCCGATCTAATCCAACTAATCAAAACTATAATTCAATTTTTAAGTATCGTGTTGAGATGAGGAAATCTAACGAATTTATATTATTTTCGGTGTGTACGTGAATAAGGGATCTCTTCTGCTGGCTCAAACTATGCCACTTGTTTCCCCCAAACCCCCTCCAATATTTCCAATCTTCTCCAGCATCTTCACAATGCACTGCAGTGCTGGCGACGAACGACTTGTTTTGAGTCAAACAAAATGACGTTCCCAAGGCGATTCTATTATGATGGCCTGCAAAATGTTGGCAAATTGCAAAGGAGCAATTGATATTAGCTCTGTGTATTGTGTGAACAAAGTGCCAATACCGTAAGCTAAAGCAACAACATGAAAAACAGCGCAATATTGCCAAAGAAGAGGAGCTGGAAACGCATAAACTTGCGATATAGTTTCCATGGTCAACAATTAATTGGTTTCTTGGTGGAAAAATAACGCTCTGAAATTAGCGTTCATAATTGAATTAAATCGAATTAAGGAGTGCTAAAAACGGGGAAAGTTTGAAGCCAATGTCACAAGCGAGTGAAACGAAAATTTTTATTCACTATTTTACAACTTCTACTTTTACTTATCAAATAGAAACAAAAAATAATATTAAGTAGAACAGTGTGTACATCGAGACATCTAAAATATATTTAGGGTACTTCCGGAAAACGAACACAATTAAACATGATGTAGTAAGATTTAAATTCGTACATTTTCTTTTTAAAACGAAGTAAAACATTTATATTACGATCATTAAAGAAACCCGAAGATTATATGTTTTTTATACCTCCTTATAGATATCGTTTCCATAAAAGCAATTCAAAATTGTCGTTTGATATTGATTTATTTCCAAAAGTGCTTGCGAAAAAGGTCTGCAAATCGTAATCTTATGATTCTCTTTAAATTGAGAAAATGATTCTTTTCATTTCCATAGCCATGAGTTTGTCGTCTTATTTGTAAATCACATTGTACTCTTTTATTTTTCTATTGAACAAACGAACACTAAAATTCTCTAATTAAAATGTATAGAGCAGAGCAGAATACGGATCCAGGCTTCGAGTCTATTAAGTTACTGGACCTGCCGGTTAATGTATTGGACAAAGTAATGTCCCATTTGGACCATAGACACCATCAATTATGGCGCGATGCGTCAGAGGATATGAAACAAGTCCACAATGATTATATCATTCACATGCACAAGTGCTTTGAGGTGGCCCATCGTGAAACGCCAATGGAGAGTGACAGGCTGCGGAGTGTAAGAACCATGCTGCAGGTGGGTTCCCTTTCGATTTTATTGTTCTCTAAGCTTCCTATGCTTTATTATTTATTTATTTATTTATTTATTTATTGTACACTGTAGCCAAAAGTTTAAACTTAGGGAACAAGAAAAGAATCGGCCATAGTTGCAAAGACTTTCGGCCGGATATCAGGATATCTTTACAGATAACTTATTGTCTATTCTTTACATGCTGTTGAGAGGTTGACAATTTAAATTAGTTGAAGTAAATTGGTTGATTTTAGAAAGTTAAGGATTTGGTGGATATTTTCAAATGAAGGGTTTATTAGGTCTATGTGTTTAAAAAGCGGTGCATTCGTTGAGAATGTGTGAGATCAATATGACGTCGGTGGTGCAGAATACGCATTGGATGTTTATTGGTTGGGAGAATCGGTATTCATGGGTCAGTCTTCTGTGTCCTAGGCGAAGTCTGATGATCTTGGTTCGCTCTCTTCTTGGTAAGTTGCTAGTTTGTGAATTTTTGGTGTAGTCGTTTATGTTTTTTATTGTTAGGCTTATGTTTTGGTACCAAGGTGACGCTTTATCGAGAAGATTTGACTGATTTTTTAGGAGATTGGTTTTTAGGAGTTTATTGAAGTCGGTGCGGTTTACATTCAGGATGGTGATTAGGGGTGCTTTATTATGTTGTTGTTAATAAACCTATATATGTTATTGTCTGAGGTTACATTCTCTGTGTAAAGCTGGATGCCGCTGCACCGTTTACAACCTTTTATATTGTAATTGTTTTATTAATAATCCTTAGATCCAACGGCAATCGATCAGCTACTTCATGCACCAAAGCTCCGAGTCAGACGTAGCAAACAGTCTTTTGCTCTTCCATCAAGAGATTCGCTTGGGCTACGACGGCGAAGATAACCCTGAGGTAATGTTCCTAAGTAAATTCCTTGGTCGACTTCTGATGGACTTGGATTGCTGTACTTCTGACAAGACACAAATTCTGGAAAGACGCCTTCAATATACGATTGCACTATTTGGCCTTCTGAGAGTGGGTTACAGAGTGTTTTGCAGTGTTCATCTAATTACGGTGTCCTTGCAGCAATTACGCACCTTTAAAATCTATCACTGCGGGATGAAGCTGTTGCACTGGCATTTGGAGGTGGAGTTGAGCAACATTTCCATCGGAGTCGTTGAAGATAACAACGATATGTCACGCCTTTCGGAGGCTATGAAACGCATGACCTTTTTCGACATTATTGCCGAGCTGCTCTATTACGATAAGATGGGCCGAGTCTTTAGGTATATTATATTATACCTATATTTCATAGACAGTCTGTAGACGCTTTTTCATAAGTAAAACTTTTCCTTTTAACTGGAATGCTTATATGTAGGTAATAGAAATGCAATTTTATTTGCTTTCCCGAACTCTAATAAGATTATATGCTATAATATATTTATTCTATCTACATATTTTATTCTATAACATTCTTCAATCTCACAGCGGACAGAAAAATACAGGAAGTCACATATTTACATATGGAATCCAAGCCCTTTCGTCTGCCAAAGGCAAATCGGGTCTTCAGTTAAAATTCGTAGTGCAGGCTCCGAAGAGTATAGTCGATCTGCTGGAGGATGTCATCAACGGAAAGGACGATCCTAGTAAGCCGGTCCAATTGCCACCAGAATCGGTCTTCAGTGCTCGCATCGAGGCTAACTGTGTGCGAGGCCCAAAAATTAATTATTCTGGCAAATTGCACCTAAGTATTTTAAAGATGTCTGAGCTGGTTTAGATGAAAGTGAGCAACAGAATTATATTGTCTATATCATTATATTTTTATGAGTTCGGCCAACACCGCAATTAAATAATCAACTTTTGTAACTCAAAAGTGTGACAGTCGCTTCCATTTTGAATACCTGTCAGCGAACCCAAGGTAATTTGTATTTTTTTCGTAAATCTAAGTATTTGGTTTCAAAATTGTAAAGTTAGAAGTGCTTCGTATACATTTTTGCTTTTTCTAAATGACCAAGATTATCGACAGCTGGCAGTGGGCTTTTGGCCTGATTCGCCTGCACTACGATGTGGTGGGGATTATCGCCTTAATTTGTCCACTTGTGCTGGGTGTCCTGGAATATGGATACCTTTACCACAAATGGGATCTTCTCTGGTGGCGCGATCTGGTTATGCAGGAGGAGATCACTCCACTGTCTGTAATGTTGCACATCGCTGGCATCAAGGTGGCCGTTATCCTGGGCCTCACGCTGTGGAGCTTCACACGAGTTGGGGATAAAACGGATATGCAGGCCTCTCAGGACATGCCCATCTCATATGTTCGCAGGCGGTACTGCCGTTTCCTCATGATGCGCCTGTTGGCATCCTTGGACGAGCTGGTGAGTCATCAACATCTTCGGATGGTGGACTTCCAGCAGATGCACAAGGACTTTTGCATGGCAGTGGAACTCTTTCGCTGGGAGGCCCGAAAACTGTTCGAACGCAGCGATCTGCAACTCTGCTTGCCACTTCACGAAGTCCTTCTGGTCAAGGATCTTCAGGAGGAGGACCTCCTCCGCCGGGGCTACGGCGAGCGGTTAGAGCATCTGCGGGAACTGGACATTCACAGGATGGTTTTTGAGACCTAAACTGGATTCGGGGATGGTGGCTGGTGGCCAACCGCTTTACCAGTTGCCAAACTTTTTAATTGGGTTTCGGAAACAATCTTGGGCTGGCTGTTGTTAATTTCACTTTGCCAACATGTTAATTTTAATGCAGCTCCAAATTCCCCAAAGTGGCTGCTTCTCCCTCCATTTTTCCCAGAGGGTGGAAGGAGCATATGTGGTATCCTAGAAACGCTTTTGCTTAACATAATAAATTATACTTTCAGTATTGTTGTACAAAGCACCACAGATTATATATCGCTGGACTTACTTTCCGGTATTTCTTATTTCAAGAAGTAATAGCAGAAATACCGTTTTACTTTTACAAAAAGCAGACGACTATATCATATAGCTAATATACATAGAAACAATCAAAAAATGTATCGGAAAATCGATATAGCATTATTTTTTTAAAGCATCGAAGTCTAAATATAGAATATTTAATTTTTTGTAAGAGCTGAAAGTGTGTATAAACTTATGTTTCTGAAGTTTGTTTACTTTCTTGTTCTGACAAATTTGTTTAAATTCCTTTTTATTTACAGTTTTAGCAGATCTGAAGTTTTCTATAATATTCCAAAATAACAATTGTTAAACGCGAAAAATTTTAAGGTACTAAATAAGAAAGATTCCAGACTGATCGTAGTTGAGGGCTTTGCGATGGTCAGGCAGCAGAGGATTATAGCGATTAGGTGGTCGCTGGGTGGGTTGCTGGGGTGGTCGCTGTGGAGGTCGCTGGGTGGGTTGATGGGGTGGTCTTAAAGGTGGTGGAGGCATCTGGTTGGCAGGTCGTTCCCCCTCCCTCCGCCAGTGACCCACTGGACGCAGCTTGACCGGCGGCGCGGAGTGGACCGGATTCTGCTGGTAGAAGTGCTTGTGGATGGTCACTGGCCTCAGGCCGAGCTTCAGTTTCTCCGCCTGCTTGTGGGCCAGCCACCGCTTGCGATCGAAGGTGTTCACATTCCGCTTGACACCGAATACCAGGTGCAGGAAGGGCTTGACCAGCACACTCAGTGCCACGAATCCCAGGAATCCGAAGACGGCGGGCGAGATCAGGGTGAAGAGGAAGACGCCCAGCGTGAAGGGATTGAGGACCGTGAAGAAGGCCACAAATTTAACAAATGGATATAGCACCTGACCGACGTGGCTCAGGTACTCCTTTTTCTTCTTCTTGAAGATGCTGTTGTGCCTGAGCAGATACTTGATCTTGCTGAAGGGACGATGGGTGGTGGTGGTCACCGTGCTTGGTTTTTTGGTTGTCAGGGCGGCCAGTAAGGCTGAGGGTATGGCTTGAACTTGCATCTGGTTGGTCGGTAGGTGGGGATAGGGATAGGGATGGTGGTAGTACGGCTGCTTGGTGGGATTGGCGAAGATCACCTGACCTGGCTGGAAAATCGAGTGCTCCTCGTGATCCTCCGGCTTGGGTTGCTTCTTCCGTTTCCGCTTGCCCTTCTTTTTCTTTTTCTTCTTCTTGTCGCCCTTGTGCCTCTTCTTCTTCCGCTTCTTCCTCCTCTTCTTTCGCTTCTTACGGCGACGTCGACGTGTCCGCTTTCGGCGACGGCGAATTCGTTTCCTCCTGCGGCGAATGCGTTTCCGTCTCCGCTTCTGACTTTGCTTGGCTCGTGACTCGGGTTTTAGCTCGGCTTTGTGCTCAGCTAAGTCTTCTGTGGGCTTCTGCACCAGATAACCCTCTTTCAGATCCTTGTTCATCAAATCCTCGACGAGTGTTCCGATCACGTGAAAAGGCTTTACAGAGGTGGTGTGCTTATGTGCCTTGATTAAGTCTTTTTCAAGCTCTTGCACTACGTGGAACGGCTTTATGGTTGTGGTTTGCTTCTCATAAGCCTCTTGATCCTTGTACAATTCTGACAGGATATCAAAACTAGAGTTCGGCTGGGCCTGCAGCCGCTGAGCCTGTTGCTCTTGCTCCCAATCCAAATGCTGCAATATACTAAACGGTTTTAATGTGGTTGTCCGCTGCCATTTCGCCTCAAAGTCCTGCTGCAGTTGATCGAAAACATGGAACATGGCCTGTCCTCGCACCAGGCCACGCCCTTTGACCTCCCAATGGGGGGGCGTGGCCGGCAGCAGTTGCGCACACAAAGTTTCGTATATTTTCGCAAAATTAAAAACAGGGAGGGCCAGCCCGCTAAACTCCAACTTTGCTAATCCATCACGACCGTGGCTGCGTGCCTGGCCACAGTTTTGTGCGAGCAAAATCAACAGAAATATGGCAAAGTTGTTAACACTTTTGGCACTTCCCTGTCCCTGGCCCATTTCGATTCATTTTGCCAGCGGTGAAGTCCTTTTTCCCTCCTTGACTTTGCGATTGAGTTTGATGTTTGATTTAATTTCAGCCTCCACTCCAGCGCTGGCCAACTACAACTAAAGTCCGGCTCTTGGCCAATGCCACTTCATCAGCTCGGCAACTCGGAAACTTGGGGAACTCAGGGAACCCGTGAAACTCGGGGAACTTGGCAACTTGTTGAGCTTGTCGACGGGGTCAAAGGGGAGCAGGGCCCATTTCACTTTTCGCCGGCTCTTGATTTCTGGCTTTTGCCTTCTGGTTTGTTTTCGCTTCTCCCCAGAGTTTCTTCGCTTGTGGTGCTACTCGCATAAAAGTAAAATTTATTACTACTTAGTACATTATCAACGGGCTCTGCTACTCGTATTCTGGGCCTGCTTCCCCTCCCCCCCTTCCATGCTATGACAAATTCCCCCACAGTCAACAACTTGCCAAGCACTTAATTATGTTTTTTGGGCACAAAAACCAAAAACTGCTGCCCGCCAAGAACCGGAGCAAAACGAGGCCGAGACTATCACAACACGAATTATGTGAACTGCCATGCAAAAGACTTTGGAAAGTACTTAGTGGCCAATTGCAGTTCCCATTTTGCTGCCGCTTTTTGGGACCGCCCAACTTTTGCCCGGCCAACATGCACATTACCATGCATATTTATAGGTATTCTTGTGGGTCACAGAACTCTAAGAAAATTACATTTCGGGGCTAGAATTACCAACTAAGACAAAATAAAACGTAAAAAGATTAAATAAAATCTGAATCTGATTTGGTATGATTTAAAGCTGAAATTGGTTTACTGGTCAGTCTTTCATTTCGTTGAGAACATTGCGAATGATTTTTAAATCAACGTTTTTTTAGTCTGTTGTCTTTACTATTCTCTTTTTTTGCCTTTCTATGTTAAGTTATGTAATTTTTTACAAATAAAAAGATACATCTTAATTCAATGTTTGTTCATTTGAATTATGCTAAATTATACAGTTTAATACAAAAAATTACTACATACAGACAAAGTATGTGGAAAATTGTAAATATAATTTTTAGGATTATAAATGTCTCCTCTACACCATTTCAAACTTAAAACATCATTCTACAATGCTCTCTGAAAGGCTATAAAAATGTTTAATTTTCACGAGTGTTGGCATGGGCCCAACCGAAATTTAGTCAGTTTTTTTTGGGCACATGTGCCCTGACTCTTTGATGTTTGCCCATTACATGTTCTTACAACATTAGCGTTATGCTAATGCCGCTTTGAATAGCCATTATCCTAATTGTTTATTATGGATTTTGATCGGATACTGCGTTTTACGATCTAATCTTTTGGGGGGTGTAAACACGTGTAGACATTAATAATCTGTAATAAAAGCGCCGTAAATGAGCCAAGAAACAGGTGGTGATAAGCGAGTATCGCTTGTGATTGGGTGTGAAGTGTCCTTTCATATTTGCCCCATCCCACAAAGGGACCTGCAGCACTTATATTGACAATTAGGAGAGGCATGCAATTTGCACAATTTGCCGCAGGGAGTCTTGATTGGCATGCTGTGAGTTCGCCCTGCGGGTTCACCACATCCACGTTGTCATGACGAGCAGTTGGCCAACTCAATTTGATAACAATTTCGCTGGCATCCACTGATGTACAATAAAGGTAAATAGAGAACGAAAAATGTTTAATAAATGGGTTTCTACAGAGAAGTTAATAAAAACTAAATCAAAAATCCAGAAATAAATAGAATAAGTGTGCTCATACTGAACTTAATGCGTATAAATTTACGTTACAAATTATTTGTATTTATATTTATATTTAAGTTACCAAACCTACCTTTGACTCAAAATATGCTCTTTATTATTGATTATTTTTGTTGTTTTTTATAAACGCTTTAACTGTTTGACCAAAAAATCATAACCACTTTCTTACTTTGGAATTTAAGAACTGGGAAGTGTCTTTTGTAAATATTTTGCAGGATTTATTTATTTACGTTTTTTGATGTTTAACTTCAATAACTTAAATATCATTTATTGATCTTTATAGAAAAGTGCTATGCATATTTGTGTTCATTTAATACCTATTAATTTGACACTGATATTACTTATTTGATACTTGATATACGGATAACAAGGCCACATATATGAAATATTTTCTTTGTGTATTCCAAGAGGAGAATGTCAAAGGGATAGGAATTTTCATTATTGAACGTTAGGAAAGCCACACGGAGTATTAATATATTTTATGCCGAGATGCAGCGCTTGCTTCGCGGAGTCCGTTCCATCCACCTGGCCCACCTACTCCGAACTGGAGTCCACTTGGATGCCTGTGAGATGCGCGACAAGCTGAAGTTCGAGTTCTCGGAGGACAATCGGCGGAGGGTAACGGCCCTGCTCGCCTGGTATCCGGAGCCCGAGTGGAAGGGAGCCCTGCTGCCCCTCCTGGACATTGCCCAGCGGCAGCAGGGATGGCTTTCGATCAGCGCCGTCCACGTCGTGGCGGAGACCATCAAAATCGATCCGATGGAGGCCTTCGAGGCGGCCCAGTTCTACACGATGTTCTTCATGAAGCCGCGTGGCAAGTATGTGGTAAGCGTTTGCACCTCCACGCCCTGCAAATTGCGCGGCGGCGATGAGATCTTTGAAGCCTGCAAGAAGACCCTGAATCTGGAGCACGGCCAGACCACGCCGGATATGCAGTTCACCCTCAAAGAGGACTACTGCATGGGCGCCTGTGTAAATGCCCCGGTTCTGGCCATTAACGATGACATGTACGAGGACCTGGACGAGAAGAGTCTGGGCGACATCCTGGCGGATCTGCGGTGTGACAAGTTGCCGCCAGCGGGACCGCGAAATGGAAGATTTGCCAGCGAACCCAAGGGAGGACCTACGACCCTGAAGAGCCACCCACCGCCACCAGGATTCATGATGCAGGAGCTGCCAGATCCGAAGACCAACAAGTGCCAGTAGCCATTGATTAAGTCTTAAAGCAATAAATTCCGCCTGCCATCGGGAGAGCCTTTCGATGGGTTCAGGGGGTCCGGGGTCAGGGGTCAGGGGTTCGCAGGCCAACATCTGTTGTTTTGCTAAGCTCCTGCTCAGCCGCATTCTCGCGTCCTCGCTGTCGCATTCGCCCTCGTTTGCTGCCACTGCACTTTATCCCTGGCCAAAGGACATGCCTTGGATTTCTGCAGCGCTGGCACAATAAACAGACAGCAGAAATGACAAAACAACAAGGTATGCGATTCGAAAGCGGCAAAGTTCGCATACTCTTTTTGATTAAAATATTTGTACCGACTGGGTTTCAATGCACTTACATCGCTTAACTATCTTTTTGTAAAACAAAATCTATCGAATATTTTATTGATCTTAAACTGAGGGCTACAACAATTAGTTCGGTGTACCTCGACAACCTATGATCATTTTAATGATACTACAATATTAATCATTCGGTTCAACGATGCCTAACGACGAGTATTATCGTCAAGCAAACAATGATTTTTTTATTTTTAAACCCTAATATTCATTATTTAGCATTAAAATGAACATTTGTTAGATACTTGCTTTTTTTTTACTTTTTTTTTAGGATTTAAACGGAAACGCTTACATTTAGTTGCTTTAAAAAATGACAAAAACCTACAATCACATACATATATGTTTGTTAAAGAAAAAAAGCAGAATATATAAAATTTTCCTAATCAGAGAATACAGTGCTCAAGAATTAAAAACCAAAAAAGATACATTTCAAAATGATAACTATGAGTATGTGTACAGACTTAAATGTTAAGAAAGCAGTAGCCTGGGGCAGTATGCATTGGAAAGTTTAAGGTTTTAACCCCAACCCCTACTTACCGAGGGAATTGTGAATTTTGGTTCCAGAGATTTAAATAACCTTGCGGCAAGGGTATAGTCAGCCGGGCCAAGCCCCATGTCCTGTCAGCCATTGCCATTGTAGCAAGCAATCAGCTTTGGTCTTGTCCTTTCGCCTTCACCCGTGGTCGCCCCCTGGCTGCCACTCCCCCTTGCCACTTGCCACTTGCCACTCCCACTCCTTTTACCTCCCCCTGCTGCGGTTTGACCCCGGACCCAGCCTGCATTCTAATAAAATGTTGCCAGCAGCGAACAACCCGCGCCACGGAGCTGCAAACAACTGGCAACTGTGGGAGCTGGCGGCGATGGCAACAACCCGATATTGTTTTGGCCAAAATAGTTTTAATTGTTGTCCGCTCCTCAGCAGCTTTCCCATCGCCAGTGCCGCTCTTTTGGCACTCGCACAGTCAAATTACAATGGATATTTTTCAGTTTTCATAAATCTGTTTGTCGCCCCACTTCAATGGCCATCAACAAGCGGTTGGTAGCTAAAATACCAGCTCACCCGCCCACGGTTTTCCCATTTCACAATTTCACAATTTCCCCAACCCATTTCCCAACCCCCCCTCCTTCCATTTCCCAATCCTCTCAGCGCCTGTCCCTGCGCATGGTGTTGAATTTTTAAATGAAAATTGTTGCTATTGAAAGTTTTTAATTTGTGTGCGTGCGTTTTAATTTTATTTCGCGTCGGTGATATTTTCATCAGTGGGGGACTTTGGCTTTGGCAGGGCTCTTGACAGCCTTAAAAAAGTTCCCGTTAAAAATGACGAAACAAAAATGTCAGTAGGAAAATCATTAAGTAAAAGTTACGTTCAGTTTTTCGGAAACTAAATTAATCAAATTTTATTCTCTTAGTTGCAATTAACAATTCTCAATTACTGATATTTTAGTCAGCTTGAACATAGAGTAACATTGTCTAAGGTTTAGGAATTGGACTAAATTAATAGAGTAATAATTAATAAAGTAATAATTTAGTGATTAATAAACTATATGCCCTAAAATTATATGTAAATTTCTTAATTTATTTATTATTTATTTATTTGTAACGTAGAGAAATATAGTCTTATTCTAAGCGATTGCTGTGAAATGTAAGATCTCGAACAAACTTCAACATATTTCTTTAGAGTGTGTCTTCAAAACCATTAAAAACAATAATTTAATTATGTGCAAAGTACAAGTGCCAAGTTGATTATTGTTTTATGTCACGTAATCGCAGTAAGGCATGCCTAAAATGGATTACAATGTGTGGGATGGGTACTTAAAATTTTGTGTATGAACTGTAAGGCATTGAATGGACTACTTTGTACCTCTAATTGCAGCCTAGGGTGTGTAATGTTCTGTTTGACAAAGGCTCCACTTTCCCCGGCTACTGTTAAGTTGTCCCCCGACTCGTTGGCCCCACTCCAAAAGCCAGTCGCATTTTGCGTGATTTTCGCCAGCAAAAACGGCACCTTTGGGAAATTAATATCCTTTTTGGACCGGGGCACGGCGAGTCACCCGCAGCAGTGTGGCAACAGGAGCCGGAGGAGCAGAATCACGTGGCAGGGGCGCGTGAGCAGCGCTTGAACTTTCTGCGGCCACGTTGCACGTCCACGCCCCCATCCGCTTCACCGCCCACTGAACACCACCCACCACCCACTGAACACCACGGGCCGTTCGGTGCTGGCCTTTGTTTTAGTCACCGTTGCTGTCGTTGACAACTTTTGTTGTATTGCCCTCGGACCGCTTATACCGCACTCATAACTGCTGGCCGTGGTGTCCTTGCCGTTATCCCTGCCCCATTGCACGTCCTTTGACCGCCCCCTACGCTTTGCGTAACTTCGCGTTCCTTATTACTTTTTTTTTGTTTTACTCTCTTTTTGGTTGCGCAATTGCTCGTTACATTATTGCATTTCCTACTGCTGATATACACGCATAGTTGACTGAGCCTGGGCGGAAAGGATGTACCAAAGCCAGAGCGAAATAATTAGAAAACATCTCTTCAAAGGGGGGGAGGATGGGAAAATGGGAATTGGGAGTGGGGAGTGGGGGGTAGGAAAACGGATGCTGGGAGGATGCGCCTGGTGGCCACTTCCAATTGCCACTTCTGTGCATCTGAATGAGCTGCATTTTAGCATTTCTCCGCTTTTGCCCCGCGGCTTTGTCGCCCTCGAAAAAAGTTTTCATTTGCATGTTTTTAGTTAATTGAATTTATGCAGAACTTTCCGCTTTGGTGCTCTGGGCAACGGCATTTATATAAGCGCCAACTGGCTCAAAATATTAAGCATACGCCCCGGAGGTCCACAGAGCTTATTAGCCGCGCTTCTGGCCCAAGTTTCCATAGCACTTTTACTCCCTGCCAAAGCCATTTATTGGCACAACGACGACTGACTCTTTGACTCGGCCAACTGCGGATGGCTTCCTCTGTCGGTGGCTTTGATTTCCTTTTATGTGCCAGCCATAAAGTCCAAACAGTCGAGAACCGAAAGAAGCTTCAACTTTATTACATTCCAGGAGCAGGAGCATCGGTGGAAGCCATGTCATCAGCTGGCCATAAATGCCTCCACTGCCTCAATAACTAAGGTTTCTAGATAATTCATGTTTTCTAAGGAAACAAATAAATAGTTTCTTAATAATACTATCCACAAACAAACCAAAGTTTTCGTTTACTAAAATATTAGAAATAAGCATTTTTATTTTCTTATGATTGCTTTTTACTTTTTAGCTTGCAGCTTTTTAAGAAATTTTTGCATTTTTAACTTGATTTGTAAGACCTTTAACATTTAATGCCATTTTGATAAAATATTTCTTAAATCTTTTTGGCACTGCAGCGCAAAAATTGTTGAGCTTTAATTAAATATTATCTAATTTCTTGTTAAAGGGACTGCAACACAACGGAACTATAAAAGTAAATTGGTCAAAGAATTAACCAACATATTTTTAATATTTATTGTTAAGATAGACAATATAATTTATCAAAGTCAATCGAAATACCAAACTATTCGTCATATTTCAATTTTTTCTCCGTGTACTCTTCACACATGGCAGTGCGAGGAATGGACGGCTTTTTGGTGCGTTGTCAGCCGCATTTAAATTTGATTTTTATTAAGCGCAGAAATCAAAGTGGAAAATTTATCTGCTGTCCCGCCCATAATGGTTGTATATCTGAGCATGCCAGGAATATTTCAGGCTATTTTCTCAGCTCATCCTCGACGCAGACTCTCGTACATAAGGGCAATTTTATTGCTCAAGTTGTGCTGCTCGATGGGATAAGCCCCTCATTTATGCCCGTTGCCCGGCAACATGTTGCCGCTGCTGAAGTTGCCTCGTTTGGTAGTCGATTCCCACATTCGCATACACACACCTACCACCACACACCCGCCCAGTTGTGGGCGGGGCAGGCGGTAACTATTAAAGTGCTGTTAACTTTATTATTTCGAGCACTTGTTGTATAATGTGGCAGCGCTGTCATGGCAACTTGGAGCCATAGTTTTCTAGGAAATAAGCAAGGACCAACAGCAAGAACAGAAGGACGAGAAAAACAAGTCGAAGGCACGAGGACCCAAGTCATAATTTGTCAAAAGATGCTTGGCAAATATTTGTTACAAAATACGTTTTCTATGCTTAGCTTCCCCACTTCATAACGCAAGTTTTGCTGATGTAAATTCTTGGCTTTTTCCCCCTCATAAAATATATTACTTTCAACTTTATTTTCTCGCAAGTAGCTCGGTTAGAAAAGTTCTTTAATATCAACAAATGTTATTAAATGAAAGTTTTCCGCCTCATTGCAGGCCACTTTTTAATTAGAACATCGATAGGTATAAGTACATCTATTTATATTTGGTTTCTATTATTGCGAAATAAATTTTTAATTGCATAGTAGGCATTTAGTCAGCTTATTAATTTAAATGAATGACTCCTACATTTGCACTAATGAAATTGAATATATTTTAAGTGGGAGGAGTAAGCTTTGAATTTCCTAAAATTTTTAATTGATCTACCTTGGAATTGTTCGATTTAAATTTAATTGCATTTGTGCGTGACAATTTGACAGCCATTTAATATGTTATGCCTTGAGTGCTGAAATCTTTTACTTGTACCTTTTCCTAAAATATTATTAATTAAAACGAATATCAACTTTACTTT